ATAATAATAATAATAATAATAATAATAATAATAATAATAATAATAATAATAAAACTAAGAATTTAAAATTCTATGAAGCAAAATAAAAAAGCTAAGCTAAAGTAAAGCTGTAATTAAAAAAGGAAATATCAGAACAAAAAAGACGATATACTTGTAATGAGTAATGGCAATTGTTATTATTATATTGATGTCTCTTTTCTTGGTGCGATTAATCATTCTTTGTCTACATAACATCATGGCACGTATAATATGCGAAGTAATGCTGCGAAAATGTATAGCCGTAACGCTATTTATTTTTTTTTATTATTTTATTACGGTTTCTATCACACGCTACGATCGGGCGTTCTTGTACAGTGTACATGTCCATGCTCAATCGATTTATTCCAATACTTAAAAGTAACGCCCTTTTTTTTATATGTTCATATTTTATCACTTTATTTAGTTTATGATCGATAGCTTTTTTCAATAAATTATACAAAGATTTTATTTTGTTTATTTCTTCTTATCGTTTAATTTTTGATCAAGAAGTTGTTTTTTTATTTTTTAAAAATTCTGTCTGGAAGATTAAAAATAAAAAAATATTTAAAACTACACACAATAAATAAATTAAAAATAATCTTTATATAACTTATTAAAATAAAAATTCTATTGACGGTAAACAGAAATAGTAAACAACTCAAGAAATATAAACAGCTTTGAAGATAAAAGATACATATATATATATATAGAGAGAGAGAGAGAGAGAAGAGAGAAGAGAGAGAGAGAGCGAGAGCGTAAAATTAATAAAAGACTAGCTAAGGACGCAAATCAAGCAATTGCAAATTTCGTTGATTGAGATCTATCGCTTATCGTCGCTTTAATCAATAATTTATTATTAATAATTATACATAATAACTGAAAATATTAAATCAATAAATAGATTTATTTAGTCGGAGTAAACAATAGCTTAATGTTTGTAAAGTTTACGTAGTAATAACTTTGATAATAAATTACAAAAAAAAAAAAAAAAAATAGAAAAAAGTAACGTAATATCGATGACGACAGTAATGATGAAAGTCGATGAACTCCTTCGTATAAATAATCACTCTTGCTTTTAATAATTATTTAATTACCACAATAGCTCATTAACTCGGAGATCGAGCAAGGTTTTACGCAGCACTCATCGTGAACACCCCGTGATTGACGTCGAAATCTCGCGCCTCCAAATCGGCCCATCATTGCGTTAGCGCTCGCTCGAGATCTTAGAGGATAGTCGTATGCATATGGATAATCATCCATTTCCATTTCTAAAAAATGTTTAAGTGAGTGTTATAATATGTTTTGTTTGTTTAATTATTACTTTAATCTATAACTTACAAATTAAAACTCGGGAAATTATGTTTATTATAATTACATGTTTTGCTGACAACATTTAGGAGATTAAGCTTGAAATAAGTGTGTGAAACTTTACAATTTGGTGTGATAATCAGGAATTGATTTTAAAGAATAATTGTGGTTTTATGTCGCGTGATCGAGATTTTTTTTCTTCTATTGATCAATTATACAAATAATATGCTATCGCGTAATCTGAATAATTAATAAGTTCGTATAATTATTTTTGTAATTTCATATAATTACAAAATTTAAATCATTAATAATTCAATAAAAGGATGAATTAAACTTTTCTTTTAATTTGAATTTTTTCTTCAAATAAATGGTTTTATAAAAATGAAGTTTTCTATGATCTATGAAATTATTTTTTATTATTAATTTCAAAATGTAGTACTAAATGTAGTACAAATTATGAAAAATTTTTTGTTACATTAAAAAAATGATTAAATTTCACTTTTTTGTTTAAAAATATTTTTCCATACTTTTGTATTTAATTTACGTAATACGATTATAACAGCATGTTCAAATTAAAAAAAAAAAAAAAAAACAAGCAAAAAGTTTTATACTAATAAATAATAGTTTAAAAAAGTAAAAAACACGCTTTGATAAAAAAACCAAACTAAAAATTAGAAAATAATTTTCTACTTCATAAAATTCATTTTATCGTAAAAAAGTGTAGGGTGCTTGATATTAATTGTTGTATAAATTTTATTGACAAATGTTTGTAAAAGTAAAGGCATTATGACAAGATCTGAAAAAGCACTTGACGCTATTTTACGACAAATGAATGATTTTTATAGTTTAAACTTATTTAAAATTATTACCTACATTTTATTAGATATATTTATTAGATTAGTTTTTTATCAAAACGCGTATTTCAGTTTTTCAAACTATAATTTTTTTTTTTTTTAATTGTAAAATGTACAAAATTCCCCATTTGATCCTGCCAATAGTAAAATGTTTGTCTCAAAAATAAAATAATACATGGCTTCGTGCAAAGTTTTAATTTAATTCGACATTTTGAAGTGGGTGAAAATAACGTTCAAAAATTACGTGACATACATACATACCAAACTAATAAAAGCGTGTTAAAAAGAAAACAATTGTCGCTACCAAATAAAGAATAAAAATTGTTACCATTTTTATTATTAATAAAAAGAATAAGGATTTAATTTTTGTTCAGTTTTTACTTAAAGATAAATTTACAAATCTAAGAAAAATTTTTAAACTGCCAAATAAAAAATCAATATTATTATTAATTTAAAAAAATACATACCAAATCCACTTTTTTTAAACATTGAATTATAAACACCATTACAAAATATTTGTAAAGCATTTGACAGCCGTTTCCCACAATAATGCGTCGCACTTCCTTCTTGCCGTTTTTCTCCATACGGAAAATTTTCAGATTGACCTTTTGTTAAATTAATTGCTAATAATACCACAACCACCAAAATAGCAATAACGTTACACCGATACGTGGACATCTGAAAATAAAAAATAAAAAAAAACCACAAAAATTATTATAAAATAATTAAAACATACATTATTTTACACGATAAATAATATCTTCAGAAGCAATAAATAATAACAAGAAATAATTCAGTAATTGTGTGTGATGAGCTGAAATTGCGACATTCAATTCTTCTCACCTACAACCTACAATTCCATTAGGTTATTTTTACTCAGCGACTTTTCATACTTTATATTGATAATTTAACACGTATCATTATATTTATATATTATATATTTTTTATTATTTGTAGTCTACTGCAATTCTGCATCTGATTATATTATTTTTCAATAGTACTCTGATGACTCAATACCAATAAAAATATAAACATAAAAACAAATATTTAAATAACAATACCACACGCGAGTTAAAAAAACAAACGACAAACGCAACAACAATTTTATCATTCTATATACTAATTATTCTACTCTGTGTAATATTTATTGATTATTTTTAATTACTTAGCACTTTTTCGATCAATAAAACTTCATTCATTTCATGTTTTTTTTTCATTGTATAACTTTTTTTCTTGATAATGCAAAACAATGAAAAAAATCAGGCATTTATTTATTTCGTATTCTATAACTTTTTTTTTTTAATCAAATTATTTGAAATTTTTATTTTTAATTTTTCTATAAGGGTTAAAATTGATTACTTACAATGAAATATGTAATTCAAAAATTTTAGATCCATTGAAGTGAATAAATAAATGACTTTTATTAAATACTTCAGTCGTCTGATAGTGAAAAGTATTCTTTGACTTGATTGGCTAATTTTTAAAAATATAAAATCCTGCAATTAATCAACTTCCGACCCATTAGTGTAAACATTTTTAAGTAAAAAACAAAAAAAAGTCATGACTGAGATATTTATAAAGTTTAATGATTATTTGCGATAATCTGACGGAGGAATACTGTCAAAATATTATTCACTTAAATACTGATAATTTCTTTAATCAACCCTATTTTTGTCAATGGTTATTCTTTCAAATTTTCAACATTATGTAAGTGGTCATTTGATTAGTATAATTTTTAAAAATAAAAATAATTAATTATTAAATGGATGACAATAATTTCCGGTGTTAAAAAGAGTGTCTATGAGTTTAAATTAAAGTTTAATTCTTTACCGAGAAATTCGTTGGTCATATTCATTATATATATGTAATATGTAATATATGATGCTCAAGTTGTGATATGATATGTGAACGGAATATAACACGACAAATAATAATGACTAGACATATATGTACGACTATTATGTATATGTTTATACGTATGAGATATAGTGGAGCATAGAGAAGAGTGGAGAAGCAAATAAAACTAAAACTAAACGGTGGGACAGCGTATAGTACACCAGTTGTTTATGTATGAGTTCACATGTACGCAACCAGACGAGAAATCTTAAACTGTACTGACTATCACCTTATAAACACTTGCACTCCGTAATTTAAATTACTTCTTCTCGACCTCATGATCTCGTTAATATATCGTACAGGTCAGGGGTTCTAATGTCTTCATTTGTCAAATTTATATCTATTTTTTTATTTCTTCTTCAATCCTTTCTATTTTAGATTTTATCTGATTTATTGGACTATTAAGAAAAATTTATTTGTTTTAATAATTATTAAAAGAGAAAAAGAGGAAGAAAAATAAAAAAACATTAACGAGATAAAGTAATTGTAATATATTTATAGAATAATTTTATAGAGAAATTTTGTCATTACTTTGTGAAGAATAAAAATTTTTTTTATAATTAATTTACAGTTTAGAAGTAATGGAAATTAATATGTAAGTGCAATATAAAGAATTTTATTGAACATTGTTGTTATTAGCATTTCAATTTTTTAAAATAAAGTTCTTGAAAAAATTTTGAACCCGTATTATCAAGAATTTTGAGAAACTTTTATTAAATAATAATAATAATAATAATAATAATCATTTCTTCTTTAGATTTTATCTGATTTATATAGAACTGTTAATAAAAATTTATTTGTTTTGATAATTATTAGAAGAAAAAAATAAGAAGAGTAAAGTTATTGTAGTAAACTTTTAGAAGAATTTTATGTAGAACTTTTATCATAACTTCATGAAGAATGCATACTTTTTTTGTTGAAAGTTTAATTTTTTTATTTATTTACAGCTTAGAATTATTGCAAGTTAATATGTTGATACAGTACAAAAAATTTCATTGAACAATATTATTATTAAACAAAAATATGCCAAAATTTTTGACATAACTACTGTTCAAAATTTAAATGCATAATTTTTTAGAAAACTTTATTTTAAAAAATTGAAATTAAATTTATAAGACAATCAATAATATAATCGTATAAATAAGAATCAAAATATTTCCAAAAAAATATATTAATAAAAAAATAAATAGATTTATCCACGTATGTAAAATAAAAAAAAAATTAAATTACTTCTATTACAATAAAAATAATTATCATGAAAACAAGTCTGAACATTGATATCTCCAAGGAAATATGTACTTGTACTTGCACTTAAGTGATAACTATATGTCATGGGGAAGGTGCGTGATTCGCGAGTCGTAAGTCGGCAGACTAGTACATTCTACATACGACAATGATCGTCCTCGATATAAATAAATGAAATAAAATAGAATATTCTATTATCAAGATCAAATATCAACCGCTACTAATAATATTAATATGAATCTCTAATAATAACAAATAATATCGTATTCTATAATTAATAATCAATAATTATATAATATGACACAATATAATATAAGAAAAACTCACTTAGTATTTTTTATATAAAGTTTAATAAATCAAAATAAAAATATATCACGTAATATCACAGTGGTCACAATAATTAATCAATAAATAAAATCAAAAATTTCATCTACATAAATTTTATTTGCTTAAGATCATGAAATATTTTTTCGTAAATGTATTTCTGTTGTTATAGTCGAAAAACTTTTAAGTAATTTTAAACTCTCACTCTTTCTCGGATACATTTATTTTTATTTTATTAATATTTTTTCTTCTTTTTTTTATTCACTGGCACTCATTAATCAATTAACTAATTATAGTCGGCACCTTGTAATTATCATTTCTTTTGAATTTATTATTTCTTTTTTCGTATTTTAGTAATTTCTGAGTGAAAGAGTTTTAGATTATGTAAAAAAAAAAAAAAATTTGTTTTAAGGGAGCCGAGAGTACCACTTCGGAGTGACCGAACCGAAGAGACTGGCAAGACTGAAAACTAGTGAAGAGATGCCGATGTACGTTTTATAAAGTGTTAATGTGTGCAGTTAAGAACGTTGCAATTGCTTATATACGTATTATATATAGTTATAGTTACAAATATACATATATTTTATTCTTTCATTATTTGTTTAGTCCTGACTTATACACATTTCTACACTGTACTTATTTTCACATCATTTTTATTTTCAATAACTCAAGATCGTAATCCTGAAGTTATGAATTTTGGCATGAAAGAAGTGATTGTTTGTCAAGTGAAGGACTTTTATTACTAAAATTTAAAAGAAGACTAAATTTATCTGAGATGTTAAATCAAAATTAACTTCTATGTAGAATTCAAGAGAAGTATTTTATAGCTCCGTTTAATAGAGCCAGACGAAAAACAAATTGCACAAGTTGAGTCAAGTCTTACGTATGTATATATAACACACATTGTATATAATGAAATGGATATAGTTTTTTTTTTTTATTAATGGAATTATAGATTGAAGTTGAAAGTTGATCGATTAAATATGATTAAGGATGGTGATATTTGGTGCTTATTCAGCGTTAACGTGCATTCGCGATGATAAATTGCGAATAACAATAAAAGATGACCCGGAGATAATGAAGAGAATTGTTAAACAAAAAGTAAGTAGTATATATAGATGAATAGAAGTGCCGAAGAGAGAACTAACTAATGTCCCAGTTATACAGTTGGTAACCTCGATGTTTAAATTGATAATGCTTCGTAATATCCTACAGTACCAAAACATGGATTATTATTGTTATTACTATTATTTCAATTTTTTTAATGAAACTTTCTAAAAAATTTGGCACTTAAATTTTGACAAAAATTATTGACAATTTTTGAGAATTTTTATTTAATAGCAACAACAACAGTGATTAATAATAAGTAGTTGATGCGTCTTTGAACAATTAAATTAAAAAAAAAAAATAATTACAATAAAATATTTTTAATTAATATAAAAAAAATTTCTGTAAAATTTTATAAAAATGACATTTTTTATACCTTACTCAATTATTTTCCATTATTAATACTAAAATTTGATTTGTTTTTGTTTACTTCAAAATCTATTTCCGCAAATAGTATATTAAATATATCTGAAGAATAATTAAAGACACCAATGAAAAATTTTTAGAGTTACAATAAGAAAAATGATTAAATTCCACACTTTTTTTTTTAAAAATTTTTTGACTTTCATTCTAATTAAAAACGATACAAATATAATAAAAGTTCAAATTTTGTCAAACACACAAGAAGTTTTTTATAAAGAAGAAAATAATTGTCGCGAGAAAATAAGAATCTAATATTCTTACCTCAATTTTTTTAAAAATAAATTTACAAATCTAAGAAAAATTCTTCCAAGTTAAACATTATCCTCACAAAGTGTAATAATTTTCCATTTCAAAAAATGGAAACACTATGCAACTTTATAAAAATAAAACTTCCGAATATTAGTCATGAAAGTATGAGTAAAAAAATATGAACTCGTCAAAAAATAAAAGAAGCTTCATACCAAAAATTCTTCAAATAATTTTTCAAAAATCAACTTAAAAAAAAATCAAAAATTTCTAAATAATTTCAACACACCTGAAAAGATAAAAAAAAAAGTAATAAAAAACTTACCTTTAAAAATTTTACTAACAACCCTTTGGTGTAAGCAAATAAATTTCTTTATGACTTCTTGGAAGTGATGTAAGTACGTTGATGGTAGCCGCAGGATGTTCGAAGGACTAGT